TCCAGCCTCGACCTGCTGGACTCCGGCAATCCTTCTGCCTCTGCCTTCCCAGTAGCCGGGCACACACTACCACGCCCGGCTAGTTTTTTATTTATTGTAGAGATGAGGTCTCGCCAAGTTGCCCAGGTGGGTCTTGAACCCGCGGGCTCAGGCAATCCACTCACCTTGGCCTCCCAAAGCTCTGGGATTATGAGCCACCGAGCCTGGCCTTATTTTACCTTTAACCATGCATGTACCAGTTCACCATTTTCCTCTCCATGTAAAGTTTACTGAACCTGGCACAGTACTACACAGCAGTTTGCTTTCTCAAGGTTCCCATACTATTTAAAAGTAGCAAATACTGATAACCATCTCTCCATGTTTGCTTTCCTATATAGTTTCCAGGAATATTCTACAGTAAAAAAAAGGAGGAAGGGTCTTTACTTTTCAAACACATGTGGGTATAGTCAAGAAAATGTACTTTCTGCATATAACACAGCCAATTCTGTGCCAAAGCACTGACAAATACTTCCCAAAATACTTTTTTAAAAATACCCAATGCCAGGGTTTCTCAACGCTGGCACTACAGACATTTTGGGCCAGATAGTTAATTATTAATGGGAGCTGTGCCCTCTGCTGTAGGATGTTTAATGACATCCCTGGCCTCTATACAGCAGACACCAGTAGATGCCCCACTTGAGACGAGCAAAAACGCTTCTATACACTGCCAAACATCCACCGGTTGAAAACCACCGCTCTTTATCAATTCACATCTATGATCTTAAAACTCTGCTCATAACTCATCTTCGAGAAGCCACTAAAAATTCATCCCTTTGGCACAAATTTATCCTCTTATATCTGTATTTGTTGATTACAAGAATTTCATCCATTTTGTCTTTTCCAACTTGAACGTATGCATCTTGATGACAAATTCCTACTATATCTCATGAGGCATAAGTTTTATTACTATGCTTCCCACTGGTATATGAATAACTAATACTTAACCAATAGTTAAATAACTACTTCAAAATCAAAATATTTAAAGTGAGGTTACAAAATGGCATGATTAAAAATGGCACAAGAAGATCATGATACTGGTGAGCAAATGAAACATTACATATTCTCAATGTGTAATTATTGATTCATAAGTATGGCTAATTAAACTTCAAATTAATGGTGTTTTATATTTGCTTTTTTTTTTTTTTTTTCTTTTTTGAGTAGGAGTCTCACTCTGTACCCAGACTGGAGTGCAGTGGCCCACTCACAGCCACCATAGCCTGAACTTGCTGGGTTCAGGTGATCCTTCCCCTTCAGCCTTCCAGGTTGCTGGAACCACAGGCATGTGCCACCATGCCCAGATAATTTTTTTTTTTTTTACTGTAGAGACAAGGTCTCACCAAGTTGCCCAGGTTGGTATCGAACCCCTGGACTCAGGCAATCTTCTCACCTCCGCCTCCCAAAGTGCTAGGATTACAGGTGTGAGCCACCACACCTGGCTGTTTGCTTCTATCAAAGGACTTACAAGAAGAGATCCAGTATGGGACAGCAAGGGTAATTTTGCCATAGTTTTCAACAGAATTAACATCATCAATTTTTCTGAATTTTATAGCTATCTATATAAATGCATATTTCAGATTTCATCTGGAAACATATTACGCTATAAAAATAAAGAAAAACCTACCACATCATGTGGATAAAATCGAACTGAGGTAGAACTGGATACATGAGAATCTGTGTCACTAAAATAAAATAGAAAAGATTTTAGGAAATAAATAATTTGTCAAACAGTAGAAAGAAAAATATTTTAACAATTAGATTAAATTTACACAATCTTCACTTTTCCATGTAAACTTAAAAATGCAAATTAGCATTTTCCTAGAGTTCTGATTAAGAACATAGCTTCTAATTCAGAGTGTCTATATTCAAATCTCTTATTCAACTGATTAAGATCTTGGACAAGTAACTTAACCTCTTTATACATCAATCTGCTCATTAGTAACACAAAACAGTACTTGTACCACAAGATTCTTGTGAGAGTGTTTAAATGACATAATCCAAAGAAAGCAGTTTTAAATTGCTTGGAACAGCAAAGACACAATAACCTTAAGCTGTAATGTAATAGCCTAAAACAAGATAATTCAGTTTGCACAGCTCAGTCATGTCAGGACTTCAAATTTTGAGGCTTTGCCACATTTATGGTCTACAGAATAGTTCTCTCCAGTTACACTAGACATGATAACAGTGTTTCTATTTCTCAACCATCCTACTGTTTCCACTGTTACAGAATCAGGTAACATTTCAATTTAATAATTTTTTGAGAGTGTGGAATTCTGAAAATGGACTAGAAAGAGCTTGAAGAATATGGTAATCTATATGTGCTGCCTTGTCAGCATGCAGAGCTGAATGACTCCAAGATACTACTGCTTTAAATGGCTCCTTAAAACTTAAAAATAAGTAAACTGTCCACAGATGTGTAACATTTAAATAGATGTGATCCATTATTAAACTGAGGTCCTAAAATAAGAACGAAATCATGGTGGAGAAATGAGCTAATTAATCAACAATGGATTTCAAAGTACAATTTAGATAAACAGTAAGGTGAAAGTTTTAGAAAATAAAAATATTTTAATTCTAAAACTATAATTGATTATGGTATATGATTGAGATTTCTAATTTATTTGCATTTCTCCTAACTTCAGTATCTTACAAATTCCTTCCTAAAGAAAGAAGCCAAAAGTAATATATGACATATATTTTAAGAAATTTCTCCATAAAGTCAGTACAAGAAATTTCAAACACAACAAAAGTTGGTAATTTAAAAAGGCACTTGATCAAACCCTTACAAGGAAACAAAAATTTTAAATTACATGAGGAGAGCTAACTGATGGGTTTGAACTTAGTTATGCAAATATTTTTCCAATAAGCTTTTCTGCATCATATAATACATAGTGAGCATGACAAGTATAGTTAAATTTGAAACTGGGAAAATACTGTCCTACTATAAGTTCTTCAGAAAACTTTGATTTTTTTTTTTTTTTTAACACAGAGTAGCTTTTAGTTTTAAAATAATGCTTTCTTGGCTGGGTGCAGTAGCTCATGCCTGCAATCCCAGCACTTCAGGAGGTAGATGCAAGTGTATTGCCTGAGTCCAGAGGTTTGAGACAAGCCTGGGCAACTTGGTGAGAACTCATCTCTACAACAAATAAAAAAATTAGCCAGGCATGGTGGTGTGTGCCTGTAGTTCCAGCTACTTGGAAGGCTGAAGCAGAAGGACTGCCTGAGCCCAGCAGGTTTGAGGCTGCGGCAGCCGTGAGTGTACCACTGCACTCCAGCCTGGGTAACAGAGTGAAACTCTGACTTAAAAAATAATAATAATAAAATAATGCCTTCGTTTTTCCATTGCAAAAATAACCTACCTTAAGTTTTTTGGTTTCTTTGGGGTTTTTTTTTTTTTTTTTTTTAAGAAAGCAGGATTTATTGAGAGGACACAAAATCTCCCACAGTGGCAGGGGACCTGAGAGGGTTGCCCTACCTTAAGTTTTTAAAAACAAATGCATTATGGCAAATTACTAGTCAATACAAACATGTTTTCAAAATAACTTTCATATCTGACCTAGTGACTGCAGCTAACAATATGCTGTATACGTGAAAATGTTGCCAGGCTCGGTGGCTCAGCCTGTAATCCCGCACTTTGGGAGGCTGAGGTGAGTGGATTGCCTGAGCCCACGGGTTCGAGACCCGCCTGGGCAACTTGGTGAGACCTCATCTTTACAATAAATCAAAAAAAAAATTAGCCGGGCATGGTAGTGCGTGCCTGTAGTTCCAGCTACTTGGAAGGCTGAGACGGAAGGATCACTGGAGCCCAGCAGGTTGAGGCTGCGGTGGTCAGGAGTGTGCCACTGCACTCTAGTCTGGGTGACAGTGTGAGACTCCAACTCAAAAAAAAAAAAAAAAAAGAATGAAAATGTTTGGGAGAGGTTTTAAATATTGTCAGCATAAAAAAAAGACATGTGAGGTAATGCATATGCTAATTAGCTTGAGCTAGCCATTCCACAATGTATACAATATTTTAAAACATGGCATACACATTAAATATTTATGATTTTTGTCAATCAGAAAAATAAATTTTAAAATTTATTATTTATTTAAATGTATTTAAATTATTAAAATGTATTTACATAAATTATTAAAAGCAAAAATTTAACTTTTTAGTTCAAGGCTTAAAACATTTAACATGGCAAATATATGCAGGTATACACACTTCTAATATGACTTCCCACATACCAGATATTGGATGCTCTTCTAGCTGCTGGTTCAAAATTCACAAGTGACATGTCACAGCCACCAGTCTCATAAAGCGTAGAGGAGAACTTACCTAGCAAATAAACAATTATTTTTAAAAGTTATTAGAATATTCAAAATTCTCCTTCACGATATGCTAAATTTCATAACTTTTCACATTTTAAGAAAATACACTATAACCTTTTTTCAAAACTACTTTTAAAACAATGATCTACTTGTAATTCAGCATGATGTGAACTGAAAAGGAATGGTAGATGAGAGAGTAAAACATCAGCAAACATCATCATAATATACTACTAATGGAGCCAGCTTTGCTATAGGACTCTCTCTTTTCTCCTACAGACACATTCTCAACTCAAGTCTTCTTCCCAGGAAAGAATTTAATGCTGTTTAGAAGTTACCTGGTCACTGCCTGCAGGTGGAGAGTGGCCACCTGCAGAGCTGCTTGGGGACAGTTCAAAGTGCAAGATGACAAAAACAAAACCATGTGGCTGCCACCCGAGCTGTGCTTTTTATTTCTTAAGAATAAATGAGACTTTTGTTGCTGCAGCCACAGCCATGAGCATGCTCAGGCTTTAAAAGGGCTTGCCACTTGTGTCCTAAGCTATGGCAAAAAAAAAAAAAAAAAAGGGCTGGTCAGACGCCAATGAGACCAATGAAATCACCAACGCCAACTCCCATCAGCAGATCCAGAAGCTGACCAAAGATGGGCTAATCATCCGTAAGCCTGTGACTGTCCATTCCTGGCTTGACGGTGGAAAAACACCTTGGCTTCAGGAAGGGCAGTCACATGGACACAGGAGAGCGAAAGGCAATAGTCAATGGTTGGATGCCCAAGTAAGTAACCGGGATGGGGATATGTATCCTATACCAGCTGCTCAGAAGATACCATGAATCTAAGATTGACAGCCACATGTGTCACAGTCTGTACCTAAGGGGAAGGGGAAGAGGAAAGGGAATGTGTTCAAAAACAAGCGGATTCCCATGGAACACATCTACAAGCTAAGGACACATAAGACCCGAAAGAAGCTCCTGGCTAGCTGAGGCCCACAGGTCAAGATCAAAGTGTGCAAGCAGTAAAGAGCACCTGCAGGCCAAAGAGGTGAACATCAAGAGGAAGAGAACAAGAAATAGAGCTCCCTACGCTTGACTGTATACAGTGGCCTCGGTGATTACATAGGTCAATCATGCAAAGAAAATGGGCCTTTACCTGCTTTAAAAAAAAAGGAATAAATGAAAGTGTCAGAATGGATCTAGGGAAGTTCAATGAAATGAATGAGAGGTAACACTGCAGGTGATAAGTAAATTACAGTATTTAATGAGCATTACTCAAGTACTTCTACAAGAGCTCTATGAAAATTCAGGAATAGCAATTGCTACAGCCAATGATAAAAACGTTTAGAAACTGTATCACTTACAAATGAATGGAGGTTAAAAAGAAACTCTTAAAATCAACTTTACAGTATAAAATGATTTCTTAGGACAGAATGTTACAATCTTCACCCAGGAGGACCTGAGGGAGCCACAGCAGTGGAGCATGAATAAATTATGCAAATTTTCATGAGGGCAATGGGATGAATGTGTAACTCTGCAGCCATCAGGGTCCCACCAGGCTGCTTTCTGAGTGTTTATGAGGTTTCTGTTTTATTTGCTGAAATTACAGAGGTTATAAATATGAGGAATCCTAAAGGACAATTTCAATTTGATGGCAGGGTTGAAAGTCAGATTTTTCCATACCTACAATACAAACAGTATGCAATAATAATTTTTTATTTAAGTGAAATACTTGAAAAAAATGACAATACAAGGACCTCATAATATACTAATAACACAAACTAAGGAATTACAGAACATCTCAAGTAATATGTCATTCTTTTTAAAGGACTAGAACCAGAAAAAAATACTTTAATAGATAGGATTATTTAAGTACTTTCTATAGTCCTTGAGACGAAATATACAAATTTTATTATGGTGTTTTCTGTAGTAGCATTTTGTCAGAATATACTCCTGAGATAAATTAGAAAAAAAACGTTCAAATTAGAAAAAAAAATCATTTGTGTAAAATGCTGAGTTCACTTGCAGTTATTTTTTTCCAGGTTATTCAGCATGAGTATTAACTAAGACTTTTTTTTCTTCCCCTATCTTTTAGTCATGAGTCATTCTTTCTTAGCATATCTAATGGAAACCTGATTAATAAACTAAATGAAATGATACAAGCTGTCAATTTGGTTACTTCTTAGATGCATTATTGAAAGTTTTTTAAAGCAATAGGGTGGGAGGCTGTAGTAAAAAAAATTAAATAAAAATGTTGATTTATTTAAAATTTTTAAAAAGTTAAACTAATTTTTATGCTCTGTTCTTTCCTCATTTATCATAGATAATAAAATATTGATTGTGCTATCAAGAACTTACATTAAGAGAAAAAAGAGACATCAGATAAAATCACAGACTGCATAAATGCCGAAGAATTATGAAACTGTATTAAGCAACTAAACTACAGATTAATGAGGTGGGGTGTCTGGCTACTGTGAAATGCAGCAAGAATGGAAAGCATACATTTGTGCTGTAACATGTAATTTACACATCTTTTAGAAATAAGTTAATTCTGTATTCAAGAGGATTTAAATTATTGCAATATATTCTGAGTCTTTAAGCTTTTCACAGGATTTTTAGCAATGTAAATTCTGTTCTTGGTATATTAAAAGTAATACCGCCTGGGGGCGGTGGTTCATGCCTATAATCTCAGCACTTTGGGAAGCCGAGGTGAGAGGATGCCTGAGCCCACAGGTTCAAGACCAGCCTGGGCAACTTGGCGAGACCTCATTTCTACAATCAATCAATCAATCAATATAGAGGACATGGTGGCACATGCCTGTAGTTTCAGGTACTTGGAAGGCTGAGGCGGAAAGATCATCTGAGCCCAGCAAGTCGAGGCTGTGGTGGCCGTGAGCATGCCACTGTACTCCAGCTTGGGCGACAGAGTGAGACTCCAACTCAAAAAAATAAACTAAAATAAAATAATACTTATATGTAACAAAAAGCAACTGAAGATATTATTTTTGTAAGTTTCAAATAAAAGAGTCAAAGAATATTAAGTCATTATACTACCACGTTGCCTTTATGTATAAATATCTAGCATTAAATTTATACAGAAATAATTGTATTTTAAATGAATATCAACATAAACATAAGGAATAAAAAAAAGGTTTTTCTAGACAAAAGAGCTGGAAAATGATTTATTACTACCTAAACATACAGTTCTGAAGGCTCCTGTACAAACCACTGACTAATGAGTGAAAAAATTTAGAAATCTAAACAGAAGCATAAAACAAAGAGAGGCTGTGATTTTAACAGATGTGCATAACTTCAACAGCGCTTTATTTTTTTTCTTAAACTTTGTCTGCCTACCCAACTTTAGGAGCATGTTCAGGTTCTTAAAACTATACACGGTACTTGTCAAAACAAACACTAACAAGGCTTCAAAGAGTAGTCCCAACTTAACTCCAAAAGAGCAATTCCATGCCCCTCTGATATCTTTGGGTTTGGCAACAGCACTTCAGAAATAAGATAAGCAAATTAGAAAAAAATACACTATAAAAATATAGTTTAAGACTTCAGTGAAAAACTTGGTGACATTTTAATGTGCTAATATGATAATCTAATGAAGGCAGCTTTAAAAATAACTGAAAGCCGGGCTTGGTGGCTCAGCCTGTAATCCCGCGCCTTTGGGAGGCTGAGGTGAGTGGATTGCCTGAGCCCGTGGGTTCAAGACCCGCCTGGGCAGCGAGACCTCATCTCTACAATAAATCAAAAAAATCAGCCGGGTGTGGTAGCGCATGCCTGTAATTCCGGCTACTGGGAAGGCTGAGGCGGAAGGATTGCCGGAGCCCAGCAGGTCGAGGCTGCGGTGGCCGGGAGCGGCCACTGCACTCCAGTCTGGGTGACAGAGTGAGACTCCAACTCAAAAAAATAAAAAATAAATAAAAAAATAAAAATAACTGAAATAGAAATAAGCATATATTGATATTGGTTTATAAAGAATACTTTAAGTTTGTACACGTTTTCTTGGCATACATAGCAATTTTACCTACTACATTTGAGATTAAAACCATCATACTTAAACTTTAAATCCAAAGTAAAATGTGCTATTATTAATTAATCCTATTTTAATATTATTCTGCATTAAGAAAAATACTTCAGTTTCAATACTGATTTATAATAAATATAAATTGGGAAGAAAGCAGAACGAAGAAGCATGGCCCCATTCATGAATTTTGATGACAAACTAAGTCAGCTCATCATGATTCAACTCCCAGGGTATAATTAATTCTATCTGATAGAATAGCACTGTCATGATTTAAGGGGAAAAAAACAGATTTCTGACAAAATCAACAAGACTGGGAACTGGGATCTCAGACTCATAAAAATGATACTACCCAAGAGATAGCACCTCTGAAGGCACACACAAAGAAATGAAGGTATCTGCCATTTCTCAGTTTTGAACATTCAATGATGACTCATTGCCTACAAAAATTAAATTTGCTAATTACACAAAACCATTTTTTTGAGGGAGAATTTCAAAGTAGCAACTGTAGGTCAATAAATGAGTAACAGGCAACAGAAGAGTAAAACTGAGACTGACTTAAAGACCAAGGACACAGGAAGCATCTGCCTAAAGCCATGAGGAAGAAAGAGTCTAAATAAACACTGATAAGACACTGATAAAAGACATGAGAAATTAATGAGACTCTCTAAATTGTCTATCAGTAAAAAACTTCACCATGTGACACAAAATTAAGTACATCAAGAATGGAAAAGCGTAGTACTCACCTGAGAAACTCCTACTGCATGTTTGATATCATTCATTTTTCTAAAGACACCTACATGTATCTTGGAAAGTTACAAGAGTGAAGCATCATCTTTGAGAGGGAACCCAAAAAACCCGGAATTATCACTGGAGGGCAGGCCCCTAGTAATACACTCAAAATTTGCTCCCCTGGATCAGTCAACCAAAGTTTTTATCTGAAAGTTGTTTAGAAGGTTATATCAATGATTTGTGGAAGAAACGTCCCA